TAATAGGGTGATATGGTACTACAAGGTCATTAAGATAAGATGGGGCCTGATTATTTAAGACCTTGTATGTGAGGAGCAGGATTTTAAGAGCCAATAACAGAAGGACTGGTTCTGACAGTGTCTGTAACTGGTACCGGTGGTTAAAATGGTTCTGCCATTCTGCAGGTGGCAGTGGTCCGGACCCCCCCCAGGTCTCCTGGCTGTGCTCGTGGACGGACGCCCCCCCTCCCCTCTCATCCAATGCCCGACCTCAGCAATGTGAAGTCAAAGGTTGGGTCCACGGAGAACCTGAAACACTCACCTGGAGGGGGCAGGGTAACGTACATCCGTCCACCTGCTGTGCAGAGCTGACTCTCAGGTAGATCCTGACACTCACCTGTCTGTCTGTAGGTTCAGATCATCAACAAGAAGCTGGATCTCAGTAATGTGACGTCAAAGTGCGGCTCCAAAGACAACATCCACCACAAACCAGGTAACGTTCCACACCACAATCACATATCTCGAGATTAAGTGGAGAGCTGATCAATAAAAAGTAGCACAGACGAGTAGTACAGGCTGATCTCTTCGCTCTACTCCTCAGGTGGAGGGAAGGTGGAGATCAAGTCGGAGAAGGTGGAATTTAAGACCATTCAGTCCAAAGTCGGCTCTCTGGAGAACGTCACTCATGTGCCGGGAGGAGGGAAGAAGAAGGTACGCACTGACGTCCACCTCCTCAGGGGGGTCGGAGGAGCAGAGTCAGCACTCCCGACTCCTCTGTTACACCGCAGTGTCATAGAAACTCCAAACAACGTCCTGCACGCAGAAGACCTGCCGTCTCCTCCGTAAATGGAGACGTCTTCAGCCCTGCTCACGCAGGTCACCGGTGTCACGCGACCTAATTTGTCCTGTAAACTCTGTCCGCTTACAGTGGAAGCATCATTTCTTTTGTCCTTTTATTTGGCGCTTTACACACCCAGCTTGGGAGCAGCACATTTTTGTCATGTGACCTGATTCCCAGTCATGTGACACCCGCGTGTGTGTTTGCAGATCGAGACCCAGAAGCTGAGCTTCAGAGAGAGCGCCAAAGCTCGAACCGACCACGGTGCTGAAATCATCATCCAGGCTGACTCCTCCCCTTGTGATCTTAGCAACACTTCCTCCCATGGAAGTCTTAATGCAACTGAAACTCCACCCCTCGACGCCCTGGCCGATGAGGTAAGAAGTCCGGAATAAAATCACAAAGTAAAAACATAACATATGCTAACACACCACTTCATCTTTCCGTAAGGTGTCCGCCTCTCTCGCCAAACAAGGCCTGTGATTGGACAAACCCTGTGCCTACAGACCCTGCCCCCCTGCTGTCACCAAGGAAACGGCCTAATGGAAGAAAAAAAACCATCATACATGTTACACAAAGCTAGCGAGGATTGGAGAGATTTTATCAGAAATCACCCAGGTGTGCAGAGTCACATGATCAGCCTCACTTATATTTGTTATCTCCACTGTGATTCAACTTTAAGCTGAGCAGTGACGAATGAAGGAATAAATATGACAGCACATAAATGTTTAACCTTAAGAGTTCCTGTGGTAAGCTGATCAGCTCAGCGTGCCGCTGGCCTCGTCTCACTTTAAAAACCTGATCAAAGACCCAACGGCGTTAAACACACACTCCACAAACCTGTGACGCGTAAACGCCCACAGCGCCGCCCCCCATACCCGGAGCCCGCTCTTTAATCTGACCTTTGAAGAAAATTTGAGCTCGTTTTGAATTTGGCGGCAGACGCCGTGAACGTGTCCCAGTTAGTCCGCCGCACGATATCCTCGTGTCGGTGTTCCCACATCATCATAAATGTTGTTCCAGGTTCAACATTGCAAGTGACCAATCACATTGTTGTGACTCATACTTTTGTGACTTCGGAAAAAAATGCTTTAAAAAATAATCTACTTAACTTGTGAGAAACCGCCTCTGTTCTTTAATAAACGGTAAGCATTACACAGAGTGTCTCTGCAACATTTTAATTTCATAAATTAATAAATCGCTTGGCTTGCAAAAGTATGATGTCACAACAATGTGATTGGTCACTTGCAATGTTGAACCCGGAACAACATTTATTATGATGATGTGGGAACACCAACACGAGGATATCAGATCATCCTTAGTCCGCCTGCGCTGTGCAGAAGTTTCGCTTTGAGCACTGATTCGATGAAAAAGCATCTGAAGCCTGAACTCGCCATTATTTTAACATCTGTCTTGAGCACTTCCTGGAGGAAACAGGAAGTGTGAGAATGGTGGGAAAAAGTGAAACATTAAGTCATGTGACTCTGGAAACAGGAAGTGTGCTATTAGCGTTGTTCATAAAATGTCTCCAATCGTCGAGCCTCTATCTCTCTGATGTCATCTTTCTACCAATCACATCTCTTCTGTGTTTTTGCTGACGTGCTGTACCAACCCCTCACCACCACCATCATTAAAAAAATACCCAGAATGCCGTTTGATACCAGGTGCCAAAACATTTGTGTCTCTCTGCCTGTTGGCTGTTCAAGTGCTTTGTACCAATAAAGTTTCTCTTGAATCTGACGAGTTTTTCATCACTGCAGAGAAACGCCATGACGCCAGCCTCATTATAACCGCTGTCAACAACATAAACATGAAGCAGTTTTATCAGATTTATGTGCTTCTTCCACTTATCCGGGGACGGGTCGCCTAAACAGAGAAGTCCAGACCTCCCTCTCCCCACTCACCTTGTCGTTCCCAGGGTTAGAAAGATATCGTCTCTCCAGCGTGTCCTGGGTCTGCCCCGGGGACTCCTCCCAGTGGGACATGCCTGGAACACCTCACCCAGGAGGCATCCTTGTCAGATGCCCAAACCACCTCAACTGGCTCCTTTCGAGCAGCCTAAGCTCCTCACCTGATCTCTAAGGGAGAGGCCGGCCCCCCTTCAGAGGAAGCTCATTGTATCCGCTCACTCTACACCATGAAGGACAGGTACAGCATCCAGATCACTAAGCCGATCTCCCCTAAGCAAGACCCAGTGATGAAACCAAACCAGAAAAACGCCATTCTGAATACTACATCAGGCGCAATGGTTAGCACTGTTGTGAGGTTCCTAGTTTGTATCCCAGCTGGTGCATGTTCTCTGGGTTCCTCTCACAGTCCAAACACCTGCTTGTCTGTTAGACCTGTGACAGACAGGAGTACAGCTGGGATAGGCTCCACCCCCCCCATGCCCCTTGTCTGGATGGACAGATGATGTAAACAGTTCATGGTAGGCCAGAGTGAGGTTTTTAGGTTGACTATTATGGGATATTATGGGACATGCACAATCGCGGCAAAATCAGCTTAAAATTTTAGCTTGGAGCCGCAGTTAGCAGCTACATGCAGCCTTTTATCGCCTTTTTATTGCCTCGCGCCCTATCACAGCTGGAATAGGCTCCAGCACCCCCGCAACCCTGAAAAGGATAAGTAGAAGCGAATGGATGGATGTTATGGGATGTCTTTCAATATGAAACTGGCTGCAATTAGTCCACATCAGCTCAAAACCACAAGAATCATCACCTGTACAACCCAGTGTCACGCCAAACGTGCAATAGCCTTACCAGTCCACTGTGTGCAGTTCACACTTTGGTTCTCCAAAACTTGAAACGGACACGCCTGCAGAAGTAGCATTACCAGATAGATAATGTAGTTAAATCCATGAAGACAGTAGCAAAACAATAACAAAAAACACACATAGGTCCACGGTCCTTAAATGCTGGAAACGATCCGGCTTCCATGTAAATCCATGTTAACTCGTGATTAGCTTCATTTTGGCCTGAAATTAAAATCTCCCTCTGCTGCACGCATGTCCTCAGGCAAAGCATGAAACGTGATATCATGTTCCCATCTAACACCTGTTCATGTTACCTGTGGGGACTCACCTGAGCCCAATCCAGGAAGCAGATTCACTAAAACCGGAGTTTAAAAACAAACTCTGCTGATCTCAGTTCAGCAACCAGAGTCGTAGGTTCACCCTGAGTGACAGACCGCCATCATCAGTGGAGCTCAGATACCAGGATACTGTTGTGATCGCAGAATGAATAAAGTTTTATTCAAATCCGTCTATGGTCACCTTCCAGATCAGATGAAGCTGAATCCTGACCTTTGACCTTAAATCTAACAATCTGATCAGGTCATTGACGGCAACAGACTCAACATCGGTTCATGACAGCTGAGCAGCCTCATGGCAAATGCTACGCTAATGTTTCTACTGTCATCTAATGCCAGCTTCACTCACAGAGCAGTTAAAGGTCAGAGGTCAGCCACAGTTTCACATCGACAAACCTATAGTGTGAAGAGAAATGTTTTTGGTTACAAATGTGAAGAAGGGTTCACCGATGTGAGTCATTACCTGTTACCATGGTAATATTAGCAAACTCAGTTTTAGCTGAACTTGCTTCCTATAAAAGGACTCTGGGCTCTGACTGGCTACAGAGGAAGCAGACAGCAGTGGGCGGGGTTTAAATGTTTATTGATTATTTCCATCAGGATGAAAAACAAAACAAAAGAAAAATATTAAAAACAAAAAAAAAACAAAAAAAAAACCAAACAGCTGTGATGACATGACAGGAAGGCAGTGTCAGGGGGCGGGGCTTCAGGGCACCAGCAGTCCGTTTCAGTCAACAGGAGGATGGGGAGAGAGGCGGAGCTAAACTGAAGGTCTGTCATTGCCTAGGAACAGTACTCCTCTGGCCAATCAAAACAGGGGAGGGACTGGCTCAAGCCAGGGTTGGGGCGGAGCCAAAGGGCGTGGTTAAAGAACGTCATCACTCTCGGCCGTGTGGAGCTGCGTGTCGTCGGCGTCCGTCATGATGCTGCTGTCCTGACTGTCGTCCACCTCGGCTGCTGGAGGGAGACAGGTTAGACCATTTTTACAAATAAACTCGGAATCAGCTGACAACAGAATTAAATAAGTAACGTTCCCAGAAGAACGTGAAAGATCGAATCTGGATAATGTGTGTGCTGAAATAATGAACGGTTAGAGAAACATCAGCACATTTCAAACTAGTGACTGCAGAAGGCTTCTGACTGCATCACGTTCTCAGGCCGCTCCTGCTGCTCTGCTCTCACTTGGCTGCGTTCAGCTTCCCTCGTTGCTCATCAGTTCCCGGGCAGTAATTACTCATCTCTTATATTTATTTATCAATCACAGCTAGCTTGGTGTGGCTCGTGTTACAGTTCATTGTCAAATGCTTCATGTCAAAATGTGTGTAAACAATCGTGTTGCTAGGCACCCGGCGGGCCGCAGCAGCACTTTTTCCTTTCTGTGGGGTGGAAATGACGTCCTCGATGCTTCCAGGTACAAGTGTTTTCTTTCACGTTTGATCCACACACTCCAAAATTCAGTATTTGTTAGAAAGCCCTGAAATATTTTTTTAACAAAGATACAGAATCTTTAACCCTTGACGGACACACCGGCGTGTCCGCGTCACATGGCATCGCAGCCTCGCCAAGTCTCCGTTTCCACTTGTGTTGAAAATTCAAACCTGACTTGGTGTTGATTGGCCGAGTAAAACCAGAGTTACGGGGAAAAACGAGATTTTCTAAGGACAATACTCGGACATGGGCCCAGGTGGACAACAGGAGGAGGGATACACCTGCAGGTGTCCGGGCTGTGACCTGCCCTGCTGCCCTGTAATGGACAGGAACTACTTTTTGGAATGGCACAAATTAGTTGTGTGGCGTCCTATTGTGACAGCTTCTGTAACGGGTTTAAATACACGCGTGGCCGAGGCCCTTGCTGCGTTTTTACATAAAGCTTGTTGTTTGCAACATTTCTACACACATTTTAAATTTACGTTTGTAATTCTGACAATGATGTTAAACACGTTTACACTTTTCTGCTG